CGACAAACGAAGCAGGTTGAAATACTGGCTTTTAGTCATATTATTTTGAACTGCGCTTGCTAAGTTAGCTTACATTTTAAGATAGGGAACGTTGATATTACCATTCAGAGTGAAAGTGAAGGAAATGTCGTTACGTAGCACTTCATATATTGCAGAAAAGGTGTCAGAAATACTCTCTGATTCTGGTGAAAAACATTTGATAAATAATAAAGTGTTATCGGTCCCAAAACGCAGCTGCTCGGATGTGATCCTGGCCTGATATAAACACTCCCATACAGAAGGCGGCAGTAACGTTATACATCAGCCACTAGCTAATCTTCGACTACCGGAAGTGCTTTTGCCGGAAACCGTTGTTATGTCGTTTGGTGTTGTTTGAGTATGAAGTCCTGTGGATGAACGCGGAGATAGATGGTTAAACTGGCGTGAAGAAAACACATAGCTAAGTATTTCTGCCACATCCCTACTAATCGTCGATAAATATCGGATATTGACTGTGAGGTTTTCTTTTTACCTCCGCGCCGAGTGAGTTCTGTCGTCGATTAGCCACTTAGCTTCAAAGCTAATTCAAGATAGTTAGCGAAGGAGAACTAGCAACATCCTTCCACTTGTTCGACACACAAGTTTTTAACAACAGTTGCATTTTTTAATTACAACTGTTGTGATCGACAGAGGAAATAATGGGGTCATCCAAGAAACACAAGGAGAAGAGCCGCGACAAGGACACTGAAGAGCGCCGTCGCGAGCGTAAGAAACATCGCCACAAGGACCGAGAAAGAGATGGCTCAGACCGGGATGGGACTCGGGATAAAGAGAAACGAAAACGCTCCAGATCCCGGGAACGAAGCGGACGGGACAGCCGCAGCAAAGGTGAAAGGAGCACCGGTGAGCCACGAGTGAAAAAGGAGAAAGTTGATCTTGGTTACGAAGAAAGCAATACAGAAGTGGAGCCCCAGTCTGCAAGCGGAGACGCATCTCTCAGCATTGAGGAGACCAACAAACTCAGAGCCAAGCTGGGTTTGAAGCCACTGGAATTAAATGACAACAAGAAGGAGCTCGGCACCAAAGAGGAGCCAATAGTGGCTGAGACCATCAACCCCGTTCTCATCAAGCAGCAGAAAGATATGAGAGAGAAGCTTGCAGCTATGAAAGAAAAACGCATCCAGAACCAGAAACTGGGAAAAGTCAAGAGCCTGGCAGATGATGACTGGCTGGATGACACAGCTGCTTGGGTTGAGAGAAGCAGAAAGCTTGCAAAAGAAAAAGAAATGGCAGAAAAAAGAGCCAAGCTTCTGGAAGAGATGGATGAGGAGTTTGGTGTCAGCAGTCTGGTAGAGGAGGAGTTTGCACAAAGCAAAAAGGATGCCTACACATCTCAAGATCTAAAGGGACTCAAAGTGCAGCACAAAGTGTCTTCTTTCTCTGAGGGCCAAACGGTTATCCTGACCCTAGAAGACAAAGGTGTGCTTGAAGAGGAGGAAGATGTGCTTGTAAACGTGGGACTGGTGGATAAGGAAAAAGCAGAAAAGAATGTGGAGTTAAAAAAGAAAAAGCCAGATTACAAGCCCTACGAAGAAGAAGAGACTGTGGATGACATGGTTGTTTTTAAGCCCCACTCTGTACTGTCAAAGTATGATGAGGAAATTGAAGGTGAAAAGAAAAAGAGCTTCCGGCTGAATACTGGGGGCCATGCAGATGGGGAGCGAGAGCGGGAGCTTCAGGCCATGAGAGATGCTCTACGAAACCAGGCACAGTCCCTGGAAATGCCTGCTCTCACTATTGCCTCCGAGTATTACACACCTCAAGAAATGGTGGGCTTTAAAAAGACCAAACGCCGTGTGAAGAAGATCAGGAAGAAGGAGAAGCAATCAGTTGCAGATGAGCTTCTCATGGATGACACACGCAACTCTGATTTTGGCTCCAGGTCACGTGGTCGAGGCCGCAGAGAGGCGGATGAAGATGGTGGTGGTGAGGAAGTAAAGGAGGAGACCACGTGGCCACATGAAATCCCCCTGTTGTCCGATGACATCAGGACAGCAGAAATGGACATAAGTGACGACGAAGACTTCACACTTCCTGAGCCAACTGTAATTGAGGAGGATGAGGCAGAGCAGGAGCTGCAGAAACAACTGGAGAAGCAGAGGAAGCTGAAGCAAAAGCAGCTTCTCAGAGACTCTGGGGAGAAGGTGGCAGAGCAGATTAAAGAACTTGACCAAGCCAACAGTGAAAATGATCCTGAAAGGAAGAACAACATCGTTTTCAACGCCACATCAGAGTTCTGCAGAACTCTGGGTGATATTCCAACTTACGGACAGTCAGGCAACAGAGAGGACCAAGAAGAAATTATGGACTTTGAACAGGAAGAAGAGAAAGATGATGCTGGAGATTCAGACTCAGAAATGGATGAGAATGTTGGATGGAGCACAGTTAACTTGGATGAGGAGCAGAAACAGCCAGATTTCTCCACTGCCTCTGCCACCATTTTGGATGAAGAGCCCATTGTCAACTCTGGCTTGGCTGCTGCTTTGCTTCTGTGCAAAAACAAAGGTCTACTGGACACTGAAATGCAGAAGGTAGCCCGTGTCAGAGCACCAAAAGGCGCCTTGCCTAATGACAACTACTGCATTGAAGACAAGATGGGCTTTGATGACAAGTACAGTCGCAGAGAAGAATACAGAGGCTTCACTCAAGATTTCAAGGAGAAGGATAGCTACAAGCCTGACGTCAAGATTGAGTATGTGGATGAATCTGGGCGGAGGCTCACTCCAAAAGAAGCTTTCAGGCAGCTTTCACATCGATTCCACGGGAAAGGGTCTGGAAAGATGAAGACAGAGAGGAGGATGAAAAAGCTGGAGGAAGAGGCACTGCTGAAGAAGATGAGCAGCAGTGATACTCCTCTCGGGACGGTGGCTTTGCTTCAAGAGAAGCAGAAATCTCAGAAAACGCCCTATATTGTGCTTAGTGGGAGCGGGAAAAGTATGAATGCAAACACCATCACAAAATAAGTCTGGGGGAAGAGTGAATTATCTTTACCACATACACATTGACACATGCAGAGATACACACATGCACACAGGATGTTTTTAGTTGAGTAATTGCTCCAGTTTCATGCTTACTTCATACAAGATTTGTTGTTGTAGTAACCAATTGTCCAATAAAATGAATACAAATTAGAGAAATGTTTTTTGTTTTATTTGTGTTGCTAATTTACAAGGTGAAGAGTTAATTAGCTTCAGGATGAGTATTTTCTTTTAATGAGAAGCTAAATTTGTTAATGTAACAATTCTGTTACATATTAAAGTCATTAAATTGTCTTAAATTTGAATTTGTGAGGTCTTAATGGTCAGAAATTTTTATCTATTATTATTGCATTTATCCATCTTAATTTTGTCAAAATGAGTCAAGGTGTTCAGCATGAAAGTTTACATTTCTTGTGACACAAATCTTCAACCTATTACTGGACCGTACACTGTCTTTTTACTTCACATTTGCACTGAGCAGTTGGCAAAATGTAGATTAACCTAACTCACTCTAATAACCATATTCCTACATAAAACTTACCCCTGCACATATATACTGCTTACCTGCAATGCTTAAATAAGAAGATTATTTGTCAAAAAATCAGTCTGGTAAACAGTTGGTTAAAAAATATGCTGAAAATGACTTTAAAAGCATCAAATTAAAGAGTGTGTAAACACCCTGTTTTGAGTTGAATGTGGTTTCCAACAGAGCTTAAATGACAGTAAACTATATAAAAAAAACACTGAAAAAGCCTTGTGGAATTTCACATGGTGTAGTTATGTTTTAAAATCAGATTAAGATTTCCACTGCTGTAGTTTCATCCTAAAAGTTACACTAATAAGATACTTTTTCACAGGAAGTGGGCTGATGGCCATGTTTTATGATGAATTACATTCAATAACATAACTGTTGGCCAGCAGTTAACGGAAAATTAGAGAAACATAACCCCATATTATGTAAAACATTCCATAAGTGATTACATTAGATACTGTCTAAAAATAGAGTGGAATTTCATACTTCTTGCAGATGGCAGCCTTATGAAGGTTTGTTGAGGGACACATGACAGTGGCTGGTGATCAGCTGCAGGGTTTCCTTTTCAGTTTTATGAGCTCTCTTCAGTTGTGGTATGGCCTATTAGACCTGTAACAACATTTCTATAGTTAAGAGTATGTACAGATTTTTACTGATGGATCAAAGGATGCGCAAACAGATGTGACAGGGGTCTGCAGCTGTGATTCCCAGTTACCAGGTGGAAATAAGCAAAAGGACATCAAGAGCAAGGCAAATTTATTTATAAAGCACAAAATAAATGGACAATATTGGAATCATGTAACAAAACTCAATCCCACAGTAAAGTAGGTATGTTAAGAAAAGGCGGATAATAACAGAAAAAAGCAATAACTGAAATATTATGGGAACAGAAGGAAAAAGAGACAGTGGAGCACGTTCTACTAACATGCAGAAAATATACACAAGTGCTTGTTGCACAATTAAACAGGACAAGTAGATGCCAGTGTATAAAGGTGATGAGAGTGTGGATGGTTCAACGTGGCTGTCTGGTTTTATGAGACACTATACAAGCTGCATGACTTAAAAAGGGACATTCAGAGTTGGAATCAGAAATACTTTACTGATCCCCAAGGGGAAATTGTGATTCGTTACAGTTGGTCTGAATTGAAATAGTGAAAGGATAGAGGATTATCAGAAGTAAGAATAGGAGTATGAAGTAGAATTATGTTAATATATAAAGTTATATGTTTTAAGACTGTCAGTGTGTAAAAATATACAAAATATGTGCAATGTGCTACATTCAAACATAAAAAAATGTATTGTGCCATAATGGTTATTACAATATTTACATCAAAAGAATAAAGAATAAGAATAAACACATGTACAGTTATGTGCAGTGAAGACTATCACCAGAGGGGGGCAGTAATGCGACGTCACGACTGCCAACTACGGTAAAACCTCAGAGAAGAAGGCGAAGAAGAAGAACCTGTAGCAGAGTAGCTGTCCTCCATCCATGAAAGTAGTTAGCAAAGCTAACACCAGCGAGCTAACGTCGCCTCAACCAACACGACATGCACACCTATAACAGCTAAAGGCTTGCACGGTAAGGATCAGCGTCACGGAAATATAGTCACGTCTAAATGTCACTCAAAACATCGGACAAAGAAACGCTGAGAGAGCTGAAATATGATCGCTAGCATCGTCTGAGACGTGTCAGGCTGTTTGACAGCTTCCTCTGCTGGGTAGCTAGCAGCGAGCTTAGTGACGGACACTGTTTTAAGTAGCTTTGATGTTTGGAATTGGCTTCTGGTTCCTTGAATCACCTCACATGATCCCGGCTGTGGTTACTTTACGCTAACATGTCATCCTGGAAAATAAACGATGGAGTATAATGACTGTTATCATGACTGAGCGTTTTTTTTTCCTTAGTGTTATAGAGTTGCCGTTACGTTGCAGTAACGTTAGCTAAACAGATTATTAGGAGTCATGTCAGCGCTGAGCCATTGGTTGTAGTTTGCAGATAGCAAGTTAACGTTGAATCTAAGCTGCAAATTATCACAGTGACATTATAGAAACAGAGTTGAATGTGCTAATCATCGAGTAGTGGCTTCACCTAACGTTCACAGCTGTTACAACGAGCAACCAGCCTTCATTAATATAACGTTACTGTAAATTCAACTAATTGCAGCCAACACTGAGAGGGTAGTATTTGTGTGTTGATTCAATGTTTTCTTCCGCAGGCTGGAATTACTTAATGATTTTTGCATAATTAGCATTTATTGATGTTAACACACTTCTAAAGAACCAGAGAGTTATACTAGCACATCATTATGCCCAGTTTAACTCATGATAAGTGCATTTATGTCACAATAGGATGACACAAGGAGCCAATGAATCTAAATGTGTTGACATTTACAAGCCTTTTTTTTCCCTTTTATGCTTTTTATTGACTTGTCCACAGAATACAGTACATTTTCACATAGAAACAGATCCCATCTAGTCCATCATAACATTTCCAATTAGAACATAGGATGTCACGATCCAGGTTAAACAGAAAACAAGCACAATTTCCAATAATAAAAAAAAAAAAATTGTCCTGGTTGTGGTTTACGTTATCCTATGGTTTGTATTTTCTTTCCTCCCTTTATTGTTTTGGGAATACCTCATGTAGGTGGGGACATTTACAAGCCAATTTACTCTGTGATGCTAGGGTCTGTAAGACTAGTTTGTGCATACAGTCTATGTTCATTAGGCAGAGTGAGTTGTCATGTGTCCAGCAATTAAATGTCAATGTAAACCTTGTTTTTTCCCCCAACTAGCTATAACTTCACCCAGTGAAACCACAGGTTGACGTGATGTCAGAGCCTAAGCCCCCCACTCCAACCCCTGGAGACACGTACAAGGGTTGGCTCTTCAAATGGACTAACTACATTAAGGGTTACCAGAGACGCTGGTTTGTTCTGAGTAATGGACTCTTGTCTTACTACAGGTATGTTACATGTATATGGCTAAATTTTTAATATGTAATGAATTTACAGGGTTTTTCCTGGCTCAACAGGAAGCTAAGGTGGTACCTAAGGGGAAGGGGCATGGCAAACAAGGGGTGTTACTAACTTTGATAATGTGTGTTGAAAGTGTGCCGGTGGGGAGGTTGATAGAGAATAGATTTGTGTTTTCATTTTGCTCAGTACACCTAAATTAGTACTTAAAATATCAATGTCAAGCAAATATATTGTTGTTTAATTGCCCTATGGTGAATTAGAAACTGCATTTGACCGTTTTTCATTCTGTTTGTCTCCAGGACCCAGGCAGAGATGGGTCACACATGCCGAGGCACCATCAACTTGGCCACAGCCAATATTGCTGTGGAGGACTCGTGCAATTTTGTCATTTCCAATGGAGGGGCGCAGACCTACCATTTGAAGGCCAGCTCGGAAGTAGAGCGCCAGCGATGGATCACTGCTCTGGAGCTCGCCAAGGCAAAGGCTGTCCGCATGCAGGCTGAATCTGGTGAGAGGGATAACAAATATGTTGCAGAATGCAGGAGAAAGAATATTAAAACATCTTCCACAGCAGCACAAATTCCAGCATCATACAGTATGTGTGTCTTTCTCTTTGTGGAAAGTATTTAAATCTTTTTGTTTTTGTTCCTCAGATGACTCGGGGGACGAATGTCCTGCGGTGCCCCCCACCTCAGGACAGGGTGGAAGTTGCCGTAACTCAGAAGTCCAGTCCACATTACGCACACTCAGCAGCAAGGTGGAGGACCTCAACACCTGTAATGATCTTATTGTCAAGCATGGTTCTGCCCTCCAAAGGTAGAGTGAAACAATATTGTCCAAAGAAAAAAGGGTCATTGTAATTTTTATTTGTTCCTCTATTCATTCCTTTATTCCTCACACACAGGTCCTTGTCAGAACTGGAGGGGCTTCGTGTGGGAGGGGACATGGGGGAAAAGATGAGACAAGTTACCGAAAGAGCCACACTGTTCAGAATCACCTCTAATGCTATGATTAATGTAAGTTACCCAGGTGTTGATTTCTGAGGAAGGCACAACATTGTTGTTGACTCCTTTCCTGAAAAACTGTTTTTGTTTTTGCGTGCTCCCCAAGGCATGTAGAGACTTCCTCTCCCTGGCCCAGAGCCACAGTAAGCGCTGGCAGAAGGCCTTACAGGTTGAAAGAGACCAGAGGATACGGCTGGAGGAGACTCTGGAGCAGCTGGCCAAACAGCACAATCACTTGGAAAGAGCTTTCAGAGGAGCTACGGTCCTCCCCCCGTCATTCAGCAATCCTGCCTTAGGTAACAAAGGTAAGGCTCTTAATATCCCCAGCTGAACTTCCTCCACCTTTGGACCCTTGATGTCACGTACCTGCACCAGTCAACCGAGGCCCATTGAGCCTCATTTATTCTTCCACTGTTTCTCTTCACCTCAGGTGGTGGTTCAGGAAAAGGTGACGCCAGTGACGAGGATGATGACAATGAGTTCTTTGATGCTATGGAAGACCCAGCAGAGTTTATTACTGTCCCTGCTGACCCCAAATATCACAGGTTATTAACTGTCTGTCTTTTTCAAACGTCACTGCAGTGTACTATATGTGTAGTACAAGAGTATTTGCGGTGGGATCCTGTTAGAAAGACCCCTGGTTTAGTTCACAAAGCCTCATTTCCACCAAGCAGTCCGGTTCAGTTTGGTAACATATTAGAATTATATATTTAATTAGCATTTTTTTGTATTTCCATAGTCAAAATTTGTGGATGTTATCAGTAGAACCATCTGTCCCGTTTTTTCAGAGACTGTAAGCACTCCAGCTTTTTTTTGTTTGTTTTGGAAATAAAACCATTCCGTGCACGATCAAACAGGTGCAGACATTTCTCTGCATGGCTTGTGATGAGGAAATATAGAAAGAGCTGGATGGACGATCTGGATTCTCTACTAGTAAAGACAAACAGAGCAACTCATGTTCAGGTTCTGATGTGCATCTACATGTCCTGGTTATATATGAAATGTCTGAGCTGCATTTTTATAAGCCATGATGATCTGGTCATGGGTCACATATCTTGCTGACGTCAAAGTGATGTATCACTCCCTACCAGTTTCTCTCCTTGTGTGCTGTTTTGTTTTAAATGTCATGCTTCCTTGTTTATCTGTCCACCAGGAGATCTGGCAGCAACGTCAGTGGGATCAGCAGTGAGACTGGAATGGACGATCAGTCGGTAAATGTACGTTAAGTTTGTTTTGTGTGAGCAGGCTCTGATTTGTTGACTTGTCCTCTCTGGTTGTCAACACCTCCACAGTCATGTGACCCTCAAGGCTCTTTTTTCCTCCTCCTTCCAGTTTGATGAACTGTCTTTGGCATCCAATCCAGAGTCTCCACAGCCTCTTGAGCTAGAGCCAGTCAGACAAAGACGGACTCGTATCCCCGACAAGCCCAACTATTACCTCAATCTGTGGAGCATTATGAAGAACTGTATTGGAAAGGAGCTCTCAAAGATACCAATGCCTGTAAGAAACTTGTTCTCTTGTTGGTATCCGAGTGGCTTTTCCTTGTGAGAGGAATCATAAATAGTAAAACTTCCTCTCTCTCTCTGTCATTTTGTACCCTCTAGGTGAATTTCAACGAGCCCCTCTCAATGCTGCAACGTCTGTCTGAAGACCTGGAGTACTACGAGCTGCTGGATAAGGCTGCTAAATGTCAGAGCTCTCTGGAGCAGATGTGTTATGTGGCTGCTTTCACAGTCTCTTCCTACTCCACCACTGTCCACCGTACAGGGAAACCCTTCAATCCCCTGCTGGGAGAAACCTTTGAGCTTGATCGGCTAAACGAATGTGGCTACCGCTCCCTCTGTGAACAGGTATGACGAAAGCACACTGCGAAAATAAACATGCTTGAAGGATGATTATGCAAGCACGTTTAATTACCTGGATTGTCTTAAGCCATCACATAATTGTAATTCTCCTCTCTCTTCAATTAACTCGCCTCTTCTCAGGTGAGTCACCACCCGCCTGCTGCTGCTCACCACGCCATGTCTGAGAAAGGCTGGACCCTCAGACAAGAAATTACTCTGGCAAGCAAGTTTAGAGGAAAATATCTCTCCATCATGCCTTTAGGTGAGTGTGTGTGCAGACCAAATAGCTAGTCTGAGCAGCACACTTTCTTATATTTAAAATAATACTTGGGTTAGCAAGCTAAAAATGACCACTGCCACCAGGTCTAACATTATTCCCTCTCTGTCTCAGGTTCTATCCAGTGTTTATTTGACAAGAGCAACAATCACTACTCTTGGAAGAAAGTGACTACAACAGTACACAACATCATCGTTGGAAAATTATGGATTGACCAGGTATATTTAAAGCTGACAAATCTTACAGCTAACTACTCAGGGATAAATAAATGATATAGATGTCTTTATAGAACACTTTGCTTATTACTTTAAAGGTTTATAATTTAATGCTTCAGCAACAAAACACTTTGTCCCCTTCCAGTCAGGGGAGATAGATGTGGTGAACCACAAGACAGGAGATCGCTGCCACCTCAAGTTTGCTCCCTACAGCTACTTCTCCAGAGATGTACCAAGAAAGGTGATTCGCTTTTCTATACATTGTTGTTTTTAATCATATAAAACGTATTGCATGTGTTTAAAACGTTAAAGAATCTTTCATATATTAAATTAAGCTTTATATCCTCAGTGAGAAAGTTTGTGACCCAGCCATCATGTTGCAAACAGTCAAGCGAAAACAAAGCCTTGCCAACTGGCTGGGTCACAGGCTTTCACAGTTTACAGCTAAACAGTACACTAAAATATGTTTCTGAATACATGTGAGGTAAGAAATAGGCAATGTAGTAACAGAATCTTGATTCATACTTGATCAACATTGCCTAGTTTGACAGTTTGACCACAGTTCCTGAGCAGTGATTGACATGGTTGCATTGGAGACTTCTTGACACTTGCAACTGCCACTAAGAGCACTAGGAGGAGGCAGAGGGACATTTTGTTTTTTTCGCAGTATCTGTCTTGTGTAATTCTGTGTGAATATAGTGACAGTTTCAGCAAATAACTTATTTTTATAAACTGTAGCTTTAAATTTGAATTTTAATTGACAGAAATAATGTTGATAAATTATTTTCAGTGTCGTGGATATGGCTTTCTGCTTTTAATTAACACCAAATAAACAAAATACACTCATTTGCCACTTTATTAGGTGCAATCCAATACAATTTTCTACCTAAGTCTACTTGCAGCATTGAGATCAGAGACTGCAGTATATTGAGAGGTGTCTCTAATATTCATGTGTAATTGAATTTACACATTTCCCACAATGTCAATCAAAAAATGAACATTGTAAATGTAATGGAGGTAGAATTTAGCAGAGCTGCTGTATTTAACTGCATTAGATTTCAGATAACAGGGTGTCCACTAAGTGTAAGTTGAATGTGAATTCCTGTACTGACCACTGTGGGCTCTCTGATTCCACTCTTTAATTGTGAGCTGTGTTTGTCCGTCAGGTAACAGGAGTAGTAACAGATAAGGACGGGAAGGCCCATTATGTGCTGTCAGGAACCTGGGATGAGAAGATGGAGTTTTCTCGGGTGATGCAGAGCAGTAAAGGCGAGAACGGCACTGAAGGCAAACAGAGGACTGTCTATCAGACACTCAAAGCCAAAGAAATCTGGAGAAAGAACCCCTTACCGTGAGTTTCTGCTTTAAAGAAGATTGCTGGTAGAGCTGGGACAGTGTGTACACCTTGTAAGTTGTTGTGACCCTGATCTTTTATGGTGGTGACTTTAGGGAGGGAGCAGAAAACATGTACTTCTTCTCCTCACTGGCCTTGACACTCAATGAACCTGAAGAGGGAGTGGCGCCAACGGACAGTCGGCGACGCCCTGACCAGAGGTTAATGGAGGACGGCCGTTGGGATGAGGCCAATGCGGAGAAGCAGAGGATAGAAGAGAAACAGCGCTCTGTCCGCCGAGAGAGGGAGAGGGAGGCTGTTAAAGCAGCCAGCTCACCTGAGGAAGGTAACAGAGAATGAAATTTGTTTTGGAGTTAACCTCTCTGTCTGGTGTTTCTGTTCAATGTTTTTCTGTCCATTCATCTTCTGCCCACTTTGTCTGTCTTGAAATACCTTGTCTGCCTGTCTCTGTCTCAACTCTAAGCTGTCTGCGAGGATTCAGTCAATGATTCAGCCTTGAAAAGCAAGTACTCTTCTCTTAGCCTTTCCCCACCCTTGATAGAAGCTGCTTTAAAGCTGGGGTAGGCAGTTTTGTGGAAGAGGCAGAGAAAGACCCAAGAATATGAAAATATGCCCTCCTCCTGCAGCTCTCCCCTCTCTGTCCTGAGCCCCTCCCACCAGACAAGCACAGTTTATGCACACAGGTGTTATACAGTATCCTGTATGAGCAGTAGCCATTCATTTCAATCATCTTGATCGCGATTCTGATTCCGATGCTGTCCTGTTTTCTTTGCAAACTTGTGAGCCTTCTAAGCTCTTTGAGATCACATACTGTGACTCGAGGTTTTAGCTAGCTACATAAACATGAACTTAAATTAGCCGCAGCTTTTGACTACGGTTAGCAGAAGGCTAAACTATTGGATGCATTTTTTCTCTATTTCTGAAACGTGTCACAATATTGACACCTTTTGAGTTTCATTTACTGATTCTCTTTCACACTCTGTTTTTTATAAGTCAGTCTTCCTGTTTTGGGGTGCTTTACAGTGTGGGCAGTTGTTGCCAATGCTAGAATAGCAGCTTTCTCTGCAAGATTCTCCACCATTGAATTAGGCTTCACTATCTGAAGGGAGGTGCATGCACATCTGCATTTGTAGAACAGCCAATAAGAACACTTGAAAAGAAAGCCAAGAGGAGATGCAGAAGTTTTTTGTTCTTTCAGACCACTTGAATTACAATATGCTGAAGGTTATTATGGAACTGCCTACCCCAGCTTTAACTCTAGATGCCAAAACACATAAACAATATGTTTTTAATAGGAAGGTACCACATGTTTTCTACATCATCTCTCAAACACTGTTACCATCCCTTCATCCATTTCTGTTCCATTTAGCTGATGTCGTGGAGACTGGCACAGAAGCAAATGAGGTTTCTGATGAAAGCAAGTATCACTTCACAGCTTACCGTGATATGTCATTTTAAAGGTGCTTTGAGTAGCATTTTATCAAAGCAGTGGCAGCAAAATGAACCATATATATCCATTTATCCATGGGAAGTTGATAGGCTTGTTCTCACTACACTTACTATGTGTCGATAACTTGCTTTTTGTCACGTGCTGTTCAGAACAAAATGGTCAAGATTCTCTCACTTGGCATTTACAACTGTTCTTTTTTATGGTGGGCGGAGCTACAAGTGTCATGATGACAGGTTATATATTACTCAACATCACTAAATTTTTTTACCTTTTTTTCAGTAACTTGAATTCCTTTTAACAGCTGACACCATCACCAAGAAAATCTGTAGCTTGTATCAGCCTCCACATTGCCACCAAGTTAGATTGAATTAAATATAACCTGTTTATGGCTAAAAAAAAATATTTCTTTACAGCACAAATGGGAAAAGGGCAGTTGAGTGCCGCCAAAGATAGCAAGAAAAAGAGGTCCTCTTTGTGACACCAGATGATATATGAGTTAGAGTTTAAAAATGTTTAGAATTTAGCTGTCAAAATATATACTTTAAGAGCCTATTCTGCTTGAAATGCTACCCACAGCACTTCTAAAATGAACATAAACAAGAAATTTGTGTGGCATTTGGATTTTGTTTGAGTTGTGGATTCACATCCTTGTTTTTTGTGCTGGTGTTAAGCTGACACAGAGGACTCTCCCCCTCTCACACCTGTCGCATGCAAGTAGCCTCTTACATTTCATTCACTGTCTTTCTTTGTGTCATCCATCTTCAGATCATACCCAAACCTTTATGTCTTAACTCTCAAAGATTCATCCTCAATTCTTCTATTTTCAGCCCCTTATGGACCAACAATCTCCCCTTATCAAAGCAAGTATTCTGATCATAGCATAATGCATACAGTGCAATTATTTCACATTTTCCAGTAATTCAATTTAGTTGAAGAGCCACTCTGTTCACCATTTCCTCTTTACATCTTCTGCAACTTGCTCTCTCTCAGTGGAAGGCAATGAAGGTCCTCATGGAGCTCAAGTCAAAAGCAAGTCACAACAGTGTTGCTCTTTTTTATCCCCTGTTTTATTTAGTCTTGTTATCTAGGTTTGTGTTGGTAGTCTTTAGGGAACCTCATAGAGGACTGTAGCTCACTGTAGAATTGGCACAAACGTAGAACTTGAATATTATAGAGTAGCATTTTGTCTCGTTGCTCAGTATACTGTGATCCTGTGTAGTGTGGGCATTGGTTGTGAGGCTGGATCTTTCTTCATATGGCACAGGAGCAAATTGGCGACTTCATTGAGTAATCGTAATCATAATTAGAAGGGCAGCCAGAGAGGACAGACCTCTTGTCTCGAAAAATGATTTGTGTATCCGCCCTGTGATTGTGATCTGCTCTAAAATGTAGTGGGGTCTTCCTTGGCCCACGCTACAGCTTTCCATCGACTTTTATGAAATTTGGGTCAGTCGTTTTTTCTTTTAATCCTGCTGACAGACAAGCAAACAAACCAAACTGACAACATGTTTGGTTGGTTTGAGTAAGGTGCATCTGAAGACGATGCCATCTGAAACATTAACTATCACTTTGTCAACCATCTGAGAGCATGTCTGCTTCATATAAGCATGATGTGTTAACATGGCTCTGGCTTCTTAACCCTCACCTCAGGTCCTTCTAAAGCTTCCTCTCTGTAAAAGTGTGTGTCTTTTCCTTTAGGTGCCCATCCAGACAACTACCAAGCACTGTGGTTTGAGAAGTTTGACGACCCCGTTTCCGGAGAGACCTTGCACATCTACAAGGGCGGTTACTGGGAGGCGAAAGACCAAGGCAGCTGGGACATGTGCCCTGACATCTTCTAACCCCCCCACCGAGTCAGTCTGTCTTCCTCTGTGGTGTACCAACCTCACATCAGCTAAAGGGGGGAATCAAGCCTGACATCGACCTGTCTGCAGTGTCCGTAGCTTCAACTGATCACCTTACTCGACTCCCCTTTTGCAGCAGTAATTTGCTCAGGGTAATGGGCATCTGGACCTCACCCTTCAAAGTAGATGCAATGCTCATTGCAGCTGATTAGTGTTCAGAATCCCCTCTCACTGCCTCTCAGACACTGATGTTTGTCTTTGTCCACTACCTGTCCTCAGTCCAGGGTTCTTTGGTACAGCCTATGAGTTGCATTTGGCAGCAGGTTTTTATGGTGATGTCACAATGCATTTACTTTAAAAGCACTACTATCAGAAGCAGATGACATCTTACAATATACAAGAGTTGCTTAGAGATCGAGAGCTACTACCTAACATGTAGTCTATGTGTTTGTTGTGTTGTGCACTCCTGATTATGACTACTTTTGCGATGAGTTTATTGCAGCTTCCCCAACATGGCGCTACTATGAGTCAATCATACCCAGAGTTTTAAATAGTTCACACAGGAAATATTCATTATACCAGTTTCAGACCACACACATGCAGAGATGCATGGCCTTCAGTGGCTCTGACAGAAAAGATAAATGCTGTTTTTTAAAATAAGTAATTAATGGCGTATTTCAGTTATTATCTTTGGGCTGGTATAAATTAAAAAGTATCACCAACACCAAGACATGATGCAGAGTTTGCCTTTACATTTATAGTAATTTGTGGTGCTACTTCATTCCCTTAAATGAACTCCAGATGTATACTATATCTACACATTAGCCTTTTTTTTAGTTTTTGTACTCCACTAGTCCATTTCACAATCTTTGTGTGATTTTTTTATTTTTTCCTGATATCCCCCAACTCTGCATAAGATACAATTGAGCAGCATGAAAACACTCCATAGTTTAGCTGCTCCTCAGATTTTGGCCCGGTCGTGTGGTTTGGCCATCTTAACAAATAACTGCAGTCTTCTTCTTCACATATATTTACCTTTTTTTCACTATATAAGAATTAAATGTAATTTTTCTATTCTTTTTTGTATTGCGGAAAAATTACATTTCTATGTGTAGTACATTTAGTTTAATAGAAAATATGTTCTTTAGTTAATATGATACCACATTGAAAACCATGAGTTGAAAAGGTAATGTCAAATTCGTATAAGCACCAATGAAAATATGATGTATAGAAATACTAATGGCACTGGGGACGAAAACATTTAGAAACTGCCTTTTTTTCCCATAACCTTTTCCCTTCAGCAGTTCAAAGTAACTTAAGACCAAATCCACCTATTTTGAGTAAGTTGGTACCATTCTGTAGTCGTCATTACAACAGAAGTTTTTCCATTTTTACAAAGTAAATCTTATAACTTTGTTCCTTAGACCCACAGAAACCCTGTAAAAATATGTTTTGTGGGACACCATGACCCTGACCTACGAGGCAATGTCAAGCTCCCCCGACATAAAAGGGGGGCAGAGGATGCGTTTTTTTTTTCAATTTCTAAAGGGGGCATGCTCAAACTAAAACAGAATGTTAAGTTGCTATTAAAAGAGTGTAGCTGTTGACCAGGTTATTGAGAGCAAGAGCCTCATTAGATTGATCATAGTGTATGAGATTGAGACTAATCCTTCCGTTAAAGATACAACTCTATTTTGATTCTTCACTCGAGCACACAAATTGCAGTATTTTCATATATTAAGTTTGTGCCCTCTTTAAAACAATGTGTATCCACCATTTAAACTCTGCTTTCAAAGTAAATGTTGAGGCTTTCGAACAGTTGAGATTAATTGTAAGTGCAGCGGAGCTGCGTGCTGATTTCTGCTGGCTCAATGATTCGTGAGGCAAGTGTGTTTTGTCTTCCTGGTTTCCTTCAAAACTTCTTGATCATAGCTTTAATCTTGACGTAGGATAGTTTAGTTGTCGTGTGTTGTGAGTGTAGTTTTTTAACAGACAGCAATAAGAGTGCCTCAGTGTGTATACATGTGGCACAACATGAAATGTGTGAACGCTGCAAAAAAATTCTGTCATTGTGTTTGTCGTTCTCTGTCATACGAGTGAAAGGACTGTGTGGCTGGTGGAAAATCGAAAATTCATTTTATATTCAAGTGTACTTAAAAGGAGAACACTGAAAATGAATCGCAAAACAACATTGCAAATATTTCTGTGTAAATATATTAAAGTAATTGTAATATTAACTGGTATTGATAGAGAATCTAATGGCAGTTATGCACTTTTGTTTTCTTTTACGTCATTGTTTACTCAAAACTGGATGCATTTTGTCTAAGCTCAGTGTACACTGAGTCACCCTCGACCGGCCAGGCTGGCTTTATTTTAAATGACATTAATTTGTTTTAGTCTGAACCATCTCTTACTGTGATTTACTGTTGTTTTCATACATCATTTAAACACATGATGAAGAGCGTGTGTGTTTTAAATTACATATTTCTGTCTGTCTTGTCTTTTTCAACATATATATTTTTAGCCACTGCTCTTAATTGCGTAGCTCCATCTTTTCATGTGCATCTGATTTTTTTCTTATGTTTCTACCTTTTTCATCCCTTTATTGTTTCTTGTTATGAACTGTCACTTTACACAACGCCACAGCTTCCCACAATTCTGCTCCTGCACTTACATACATCCATTATCTGTCATGCCCTTTATGATTTTACAGTCAGCTTGTGATGTTGGCGACTGAGGAGTTTGTCATTTTGTGAGTTTGTTGTGAAAACTTTTCCTAAACCATCAATTCGCTAAATGCAAACATATGTACCTTAGTTAAAATGTACATATGTACTGACTCACACCTTTTCTGTCCTTCAATGCAGTGTTTTTTAAACAGAATTGTGTTAGAGGTTGTCATTATTAAAGACTGAATGAAGTGCTTACCTTTGGTGGTTTTTATTTTACCAAGCTAAGCAGCATAAAAATGCTGAAAAATGTTAGTAAATGATTTGAAAAGATAGTTTTGTTTTAGAAATGTACAGCGCCATCTGTGTAGTTAACTCAGGTTTCAGGCTGCCACACCCTGTAGCTGACAGAGATCATTTTACAAAGACAGCTGGAAAAATGTAGTGGGTGTAATGTAGTTTAATGGATGTACTAAGAGACTGGCTATACTTGGAGAAAAAAAAAACTTTTGTGGGGGGTAATTAAAACAACAAGTGAGTCAGCATGCACACCACCAGGTCCCTTAAACTGAAGCAGCTTTTCCTATTGTGACATCAAAATGTCATCTGTGAAAAAAGCCCCTGTTAAATCACATGTGGTAGCTAACTTATTGTCATCATATGAAGTATTCAGATAAGTTGCTTTAGTAAGAGTGGCAACAGGGTCTGCATAATGATGGTATTAGTCCATTACATAAAGAAAAACAGCCTTGTTGTGAATGTGCAATATCTTCAGTAGGGCTGACAAGTTCAAATGTGTGGGTTTTGGGGTCATGTTGCAACCAAGACAAGTCCATGTCCCTGACCGTCTTCTCTTTCCACTGATGTACTTGTCAAACGCCTTCGTCTTTGCTGCACCAGAGGAACACTCAATCTCAAAGCCCACCTGTGCTTGGACCTCGTCCATACTACCAGGCATCATCCAGTAGGCTGGAAAGTCAGTGACTGTCTTAATCCCCAGTGTCCACACTGCTACTTTAAACAGGAGAGCTCCAACATGTGTACAAGACACTGCTATGCTAGCCATGTGTGTGCAGAGTGCACGCTCCAGTTGGCAACAGGAACTGGTTACCCATGGCTTGGTAGCAGGTTCACTGTAGCAACAGCAGTGTGCTGGTTGGAAAGCAGACTTAGTGAACGTTAACAACCAAACTGTGGCCTAAATGAAAGACAACCTGACCAAATGACTAAATGTCTTGGAAGAAGAAGTTATGTTGAGTTTAGAGTGGTGACACAAAGAGATCTGAAAATCTGCAGGACCTGCACCCATCCACTGCTCCAGTGTGTGAGAGCTCACACAGACAAAGTAGGAAAAACATCTGTAAATGCATTGGGAGGACTTGTTTAGATCATCAGACAACTCTTTGTGTGCATACAGACTGAGCCTGATAATTCCCTTTTTTTTTTTCAAAGTAGCCTTCTGTGCATCTTTGCTCAGCTTCTATCAGTAAGAAATGTTGCACTTGATCTTCACCTGGTCCATTCATGTTTTCTTCTCTGTTGATTTGTGTTTGTCATCAGTGTGTACTTATGGTTGAAAATGAATGAATGAATGTAAAATGGCCACCACTACACAGAATGCAATGTGCCATGACGTATGTAAAAATATCATATTACTAGCAGAAGTCCTGCATCTACGATTACATTTAAGTAAAGTAATATGAGAAAGTATTAGTACTAGTAGAAGTACTGTTAGCTAAGTGTACTTAAATATCAAACTAAAAATATTTTGAAAATGACTGACTAAAATACGCATGCTTTAGCTGACTGACTTTTTATTCTTTTGTACAGTTTTGGTCTATAACAAGGGATCATAATTTATAAACTGACTGTGTGTTTTGTGAGGAGGGACCTGATTTGAAACAGAGGCCTACTTAGTAACTAACAGTCAAATTTATGTAGAGGTGTAGTAAAGTGGAAGTAGAAAGTAGCATCTGTAACTATTAAGGCTTTAGATTAGATTAGAGTTTCATTTTCTGGGAACCAAAAATAATAACCTGCCAAACCCTTAGAACGGTATAACATCTTTGTGATACATTTTTACAATGATTGAGTTCAGGAGCAAGACAGATAAATATGTATATAGAGAGAGAGATTATGAGTAATATCAGAAGCAGGAGTGTCTCTTCTCTGGGAATTGTGGGGGATTTTGCAGTGTGGGGGGGTTTACAGTCCTAAATTGAAACTCTAAAACAGCAGGTATTATCCAGGCTAATTCCAGTATTTTATCATATTTAAATATTTACATTTATTACATTTTTATTTGACTAACTTAAGGCCAGTAAATTTAATATAGAATTGTTATTCCTATCAGTGTGGTGAAGGTTTTGGTACAGCATTTTGACCTCAGTGTGAGGGGTGGGGTGGTGTGTTTAGAGACTGTTTATATTGAATAAATACAATGTAAAAATTCAAACAGTCTGAAAAGATACATACATCTCCTCGCGTGTGTATGATCCAAATTTTATCTCTGTATTTACAAGAAAAGAAAAAAGAAAAAGAAAACACTAGCTCCGCCCCTCACGAGGGAGAGTTTGGGCCTGACTCGCCCCTTCACACGGCAGGCGTGGGGGTTTAAAACGAGCGCGTCTCTCCGCATGACATCAGCATCTTTGTTTACTAGCTAGGCAGGGTACATCCTCACATCTCCCTGCGCTAGCATTAGCATTAGCATTAGCAGTGCTGAGTTTGCTGTTTACCATATAGGGTGTGTAAATTCACTGTGTTACTGTGTGGTTAATTTACTAAATTAGGAATATGTCGGTTAACGGACCTGGAGAAGACTCCACAGACGCAAAGAGTAGCGACGGACAATGGTAAGTCACGGTTAATTTCGCTTAGTTAGCTAGTTATTAAGTTAGCTATCTTTATTTCTAGCAGCTCATTGTTGTCCTGACCAACAATGGTGAGGAAGCTGTTCGTCTTTGTTAATATTCCAAACTCCCCTCTATCCTGTAAGTAACATAAAACTTCACCCGCTAGTTATTAATGAAATACTAGCTTTTGTTTGTGTGTCTACAGATTGTTTTAGCACTGTGTTATTCATGTCATAACGTTATATGAAGCAGTACTGCAGGTTTAAAGACTGCTCACTTTAAATGCCTCCTCCTCCTCACCTTGGATTAGCGGTTTCTTTTGTGTGCATTGCTGTTGATTTAAAGATTATGGAGTGTTTTATGGTGTTGTTGTCCCTCAGGTCAGGGTCGTCTTCGTCTGCCTCTGCTCCCATGGACGTGGACGCCAAGCCCAGCGCACACAGCTTCAGATACAGTCTGAATTTCCCCAGCATCGGCCAGTGCATCATCATCAACAACAAGAACTTTGACAGAAAAACAGGTCTTTATTTTGGTCTTTCTTTTTTTTTTTGGTCAGGGTATTTGGCATAACTTAAACTGCTCTAAACACTTGTTAAACCAGGTTTAAATTGAATTTTTGTAGTGCTGAATATCATTAACATAAAGTTATTACTTTAGTACAGTAGACTCTGGTGGTACCAGCAATATATGAATAATTACTTGCTTTGCATATCTTTGTATGAGTGTAATCTAAATGGTAAATAACCTTGGGTTTTAGACTAGGCAGACAAAGTAAAGATTAGGCTCACACGACAGGGACTTGTTATTTGCTTTATTTTATACATAAATGTATTATCCAAATATTAATTTGTAGTAATAGTGACAAGATAATGAAAACAATTACTTGTAGTCCCTCGCCTCACATATTACCTGTGGAAAATGTTATATTTGATACAGTGCCTGGTTCAGATTTAATCTCTAATGCTCTACTTAGTGCTGAAACTCTTTAGCAGAAATGTTTAAGTAAGTAATTTTAAGTAAAGATAAGTATCAGGTGGTTACATGAACTTTAAGGTGAATATTTACATGCCATTCTTTTCTCAGTGTCATTGTAATTTAAATAGTAAATACCCTTGAATTTTTGTCTCTAGTCTGACAAAATAACTCTTCTCATGATAGGCACTTGTTATTTGTCACATTTTCAACACCAATTTCACATCAAAAAAGTAATTTATAGTTACAGTGTAATAAAAATAATGATTTGGTATCCCCAGTCATTCTCTCTTGATGTCAGGTTTGGTGGTATTTTCCTGCAATCCAAAAAAAGATTCATCGAGATTTCAAATTGTGCCATTTTGAAAAGCTTAAATAATCTAGACCAGTGGTTCCCAACAGGTCCAGGTCCAGGTTCAGGTCAAGGTTCAAAAAGTTTAATACATATTTAGGGTCATACTTGCATTTGGCCATGTCATTGAGCTTGTTTTCTGGCTCTCTCAAATTGTTTTTTGTTAGTCAATCACTCTACAGCAGGAAACAGCAATTAAAAAATAAAAGCTCTGTGCTAGAAATTCACTGTTTTTTAAAATAAAATGTGTTTTCTACAGACGTGACACATTCGGGAGTCACTTGGCGTCCATTCAGAATGGACCCACAACCCATTTTTGGACTGGGACCCACCAGTTGGAAACCACTGATCTAGACTAAACCAAGAAGTTAGTCCAGGGTTAATGGTTCTCTTGGCTCAGATGTACACCATTAAATATTTCATTAGGAGTAAGAGGTTAGCTGGCTGTAAAGGTGCCTTTGGTATCCGTGTAGTGTTGTTTCCAGTTCCCACACAGGCATCTCTACTTGGTCCCTCAGTTATAGTAGATTACTTTGGTGTGAGGACATCCCTGTCAGAAAGCTGAGTGAGGGGGACTCCTTCTTTAGATGTCACTCATGGATCTGCCTTTAATTGTGAGGGGATGCCACTTCTATGCAGTTGGTCAATCGGCAATTGCTTGATTACCTTGAACTTCACGGTGAGATCTCTAATCAGTGGGGCTCACTTTTCCTCTGTCTGGTGACAAGTTTGTGTTGGGCAGGTTTGTCTGTCCGACTGCATCAGCAGGACTGATGATAAGTGTGAGCTCCACAAAAGTTCTTTACAGAAATGGACATCTCAGTGTACAACAGAGCAGATCAATCATCTGGCATCCACACCTTCATGAGGCTGTGTGCTCAGGGACCCAATTTACTCGTGTTGCCATGGATCCAATTTAACTGCATCCCATGCCAGTTAATGAGATGTTCACGTTAGCTCTGTCGAAGGCCTTTCGCTGGCTTTAGTGAGAATGAGAACAAGCAGGCAGTTGTACTAATCCTTGTATGCATCATTACATTTAATAAGATAATTCAATAACTCCCGGTCTAGCATGCCATCAGTGGCTCTTCAGGAAGTTCAGGTACCCACATGACACACTGTATGATCTGGCATCACATGTGTACCCGTGGTTTAATTAGTTCCTCTTTCATGTTTGATAAACACTGTGGAGAATTATGTGTATGTGAAAGTTAAGTCTGTACATTTATTGAACGGCCCAGTCCCTTGGATATTGTGGTAGTCTTCTTTTAGCGTGGCAGGATATAGAAGGACAGCCATTACAGCTTTGTCACGTGTGTCCTTTTGATGCTCATAATCATTTTGTAAAGCAGGACCCATAAGGGAATGTTTATCCAGTGCGTCCTTCTGTTTGGATATAAAGATGTCTGCTGTCTACAATAGTTGGAGAGACTGTATGACCTCAGTCCTTGCCTACTTTTTAGTCGCACTGTGCAATGTAAGCTTGAAAAGCTGCTATGCGGTTATTGAAAGAGCCTCTATTATCTGTCTGAGAAGACCTTGGGATATCAATGCAAGCGAGTGCAACTTCAGTCTGCTCTGTCTGCATCACCGTTACTGTATAACGTCTCATTTTACTGTCAGACTTGTGTTTGACAAACCCGTATAGCAGGACTAACCAAACACACATGACTGCTTGGTCAACAATGTTCCATGAGCAAGAACATTATATTAGTGGGATAAACATCAGCAGTGGTTTAGCCTGTTCAACCAAGAAAAAGATTCCTGTTATGGTAGATATGTGTACACTTTGACACAACTCTGTAATTTCCCATGTATGTTTCCAGGATAATCGCAGCATTTTGTGCCAGAGCAAATAAGATTTAGTGTAAAAGCAGGGAAAGTGACCACAGTTACTGTACCTAAATAAGAGGTGTTCACTCCTGTCTTAGGGATCTCTTATATATATTGAACTGCCTCTTTCCCAGCAGACACTTTAACACGTCATAGAAGAGAAAGAACAGGTGTAACGAATAACTTACAATGGCTCCGTACTATTCAGGTGTCCTAATCAGCCACGACAGTTTGACAGCAATGCTACTCACCCAGCAATAATTTAATTATTTACACCTGTGTAGGTGTTTTCACCTTTTCTGGCCAATTAGTTTGAAGATATGTGGAACTTATGTGAGGTAACCAGACAAGAAAGGGTGCACTCTAAAGTCCCACCATCACAGTATGGGTGTGTGCAGGTTGGGCGTGGTTTTCACTTCAGTGAAATGTCGCCCACAAAACAAGCCGAATCCATGGCCCTGTGAGGCACGTAAACAAAATACCCCGCATACTAGGGGTGTACTAATACGTCATCTTTAAGATATGCCTTTAATTTGAAATTCTCATGGCATGTCTGTGTCGCCATTTCCATCTAAGCACACCTGCTTCCTAAACATTCAAACAGTGCTAGCTGCCTATTGCCACCCAGACTATGGTAATTAAGCAAGAAGAAGACAATGAGGGTATTAATTGTTACAGTGTCATATACATTGCAGGCACCTGAATTTAATCAAAATTGTATTGTGCTAGACTTTGTGATATCGGCAAATATCGTATTGTTGTCCAAAGCATCGATGTAATATTGTATTGTGGGAAAACTTGTGATAGAAGAAGTCTCACTGGCTAAAACAATTAATCATCTTTGTGTCGGGTATCGTGGGTGTGCAGGGCCTTTTACAATTTATAACAAACTTGTCTACAGTGTGTGCTGATGGTTAAATCTGTTTACGGGGAAGCGAAATATGTTGGTTCCTTTTTAAAAATATTTTTTGTAGTTGCATTTTCATTGTGTTCAAGTAACCGGATTGTCTTTGCTTTGTTATTTAAAGGCATGAATCAACGAAACGGAACAGATGTCGATGCAGCCAATGCTATGAAAGTGTTTGGGAAGCTGGGTTATAAAGTGAAGGTTTACAACGACCAGTCAGTCGAGCAGTTGAAACAGGTTTTAATCTCTGGTAAGTTCAGAATTCACCTGCTGTTTTTTATAACATCTTGCACAAAATATATATTAAATGCTGTACATTTCTGTTTATTCAGCATCAAAGGAAGATCACAGCTGCAATGCCTCGTTCGTCTGCGTCCTGTTGAGTCATGGAGACGAGGGTGTGTTCTTTGGCACAGATGGTTCAGTAGAGCTCAAGTACCTGACGTCACTTTTTCGAGGCGATCGCTGCAGATCGCTGGTGGGAAAACCCAAACTCTTCTTCATCCAGGTATTGTAAGAGTTCGTCTCCTTCCTGCGCTGACTTCCATTGAGCTTTGCTAAAGTGACGTGTAACCAAGTGTCGTTTTGTTTGTGTGCACATCGAGTAGGCTTGCAGAGGCACTGATCTGGATGCAGGCATTGAGACAGACAGTGTAGAAGATGGCATCACCAAGATCCCTGTAGAAGCTGACTTTCTCTATGCCTTCTCCACAGCTCCAGGTTAATACTCACACAAACACCGTATACTTATTAATCCCTTTTTTATTTATTGTATTGACATGCCCATTATTCAATCACTCTTCTGTCTACAGGCTACTACTCATGGAGGAACACTATGACCGGTTCCTGGTTTATGCAGTCACTGTGTGATATGATCACCAAATATGGGAAAGACGTGGAGCTTCAGCACATCATGACACGAGTGAACCACAAGGTGGCAGTAGAGTTTGAGTCTGTCTCTAATTCACCAGGCTTTCATGCAAAGAAACAGATCCCATGCATTGTGTCAATGCTGACCAAAGAGATGTATTTCTCTCCTTGAAGTCATCAGAAGCCTACGGCCTTCATCTGTGGGAGAAAGGCGTGAAGATGTGTACAAGTTGGTGTTGGTGAATTATTTTAGTTACACTGTCTGACTGAATATCTCTTGACACCTCAGCTAACATGTTTCTGGGAGAGTAGATGTGTCACTTTTCACAAGCTTGGTGTTATAGGGTACTTTATGTGTGGAGTACAGTTCTGAGATAAGGCATTAAAAGTTTACGCCTTCTGAAATATTATTCTGTATTTTCTCTTAAACATTTAACCTGATAAAGGTTATTTTTTAAAACAATGTCAATTTGAAATAAAAACAAAAAACAACACTGAAAAATAATGAATCTAAAGATAAAACATGATCGACCTTGTAATTCCAAGTTCACAGTTTCCTACCAGTGAATGCCTCTTTTCTCTTTACACTGTACACATTTCAGGGAAACATTTTGGGAGCCAGTTTAATAGGAAGTTTGACCTTCTATATTTGTTAATCATGAAACCATAGATGGGCTTCCTGCTCTACATCAGTTGTTTTATGAGTCAGCAGTTTATTTTAGACGTTTGTAATGAAGGGATCATGTCTGTCATTTCTGTGCCTGTTGTTTTTTCATATACATTATTTTTTTTTAAATATTGAGTCAATGTAGCGACACCAGCGAAACCAGTAATAATTATTCACTGAAACGGTACGTGATGAGCTGTGTGAAGCCAAGATGCTGCACTCAGCAGGTAAATTTAACAGTTTTGTGTAGCAAATTCAGGATTATCCATCAAGCTATCTTGTTGGTTTTTTCAGAATTACATTTTTTTTATGTTTTTCATTTTCTAAATATGGATTTCTTTGAATGAACTGTTGCCTGTGAAAGTTCTCATATAAGTCAGTGTCAGGCTTCATAGCATGCATGAGTAAAGCCATCGAACTTGCACAATGTTTTCATTTTTCATTTTCATACTTGAACACAAGTTTACATTTCATGCTAGGCTGTATCTTGTATTTATGGTTTTTAAGGCTTAAAAGGAAAATAGGGTGCATTTTCGCTTCGCTTTAATACTTACAGCTATTAACTTCTTAAAAAATGATTTCCAGTCAGCTGTTTTGAAACAGTGAGTCATACTTTTGTATGTAATGATCAGCAGTGAGTGATTTATAACAGACAAAGCACAATTTGATGGTGTACTAATCCAGGTGCTGGTCATTTACGAGTAAATGTTTACAGCAAACCAGCTAAAATCACTTTTGCTGTTAAAATATTTCACTGGTTGACAATCCAGTTTTTAAGTTGTATCCTACGTCACTATTTGGCTTCTTTTTTATATCACTATTTTGTAAGCAGTGATACTGTGAGGTTGGTGTAATGCTTTCCTGAAAAATAAAAACCACTTTCCATTGTTTTGTGTGTAAATGGTGTTACTGGTTTTGTTTTTGGCTCTTACAGTAGAGAAAATCAACATCTATGGTGCTCCTAAAAATTTAAGCGCTCACATTCTCATGTGGCATTGGTTAACTATGGTACATGTACCACTGGTGGTGCGTGAGTTCCCTCTAGTGGTATGCGGAGGAATCTTAGAAATGTTTTTTTAAAAATTGAATAAATTACATATATACAGTACAGGCCAAAAGTTTGGACACACCTTCTCATTCAATGCGTTTTCTTTATTTTCATGACTATTTACATTGTAGATTCTCACTGAAGGCATCAAAACTATGAATGAACACGTGGAGTTATGTACTTAACAAAAAAAGGTGAAATAACTGAAAACATGTTTTATATTCTAGTTTCTTCAAAATAGCCATCCTTTTCTCTGATTTTTGCTTTGCACACTCTTGGCATTCTCTCTATGAGCTTCAAGAGGTAGTCACCTGAAATGGTTTCCACTTCACAGGTGTGCCTTATCAGGGTTAATTAGTGGAATTTCTTGCTTTATCAATGGGGTTGGGACCATCAGTTGTGTTGTGCAGAAGTCAGGTTAATACACAGCCGACAGCCCTATTGGACAACTGTTAAAATTCATATTATGGCAAGAACCAATCAGCTAACTAAAGAAAAACGAGTGGCCATCATTACTTTAAGAAATGAAGGTCAGTCAGTCCGGAAAATTGCAAAAACTTTAAATGTGTCCCCAAGTGGAGTCGCAAAAACCATCAAGCGCTACAACGAAACTGGCACACATGAGGACCGACCCAGGAAAGGAAGACCAAGAGTCACCTCTGCTTCTGAGGATAAGTTCATCCGAGTCACCAGCCTCAGAAATCGCAAGTTAACAGCAGCTCAGATCAGAGACCAGATGAATGCCACACAGAGTTCTAGCAGCAGACCCATCTCTAGAACAACTGTTAAGAGGAGACTGCGCCAATCAGGCCTTCATGGTCAAATAGCTGCTAGGAAACCACTGCTAAGGAGAGGCAACAAGCAGAAGAGATTTGTTTGGGCCAAGAAACACAAGGAATGGACATTAGACCAGTGGAAATCTGTGCTTTGGTCTGATGAGTCCAAATTTGAGATCTTTGGTTCCAACCGCCGTGTCTTTGTGAGACGCAGAAAAGGTGAACGGATGGATTCCACATGCCTGGTTCCCACTGTGAAGCATGGAGGAGGAGGTGTGATGGTGTGGGGGTGTTTTGCTGGTGACACTGTTGGGGATTTATTCAAAATTGAAGGCACACTGAACCAGCATGGCTACCACAGCATCCTGCAGCGACATGCCATCCCATCCGGTTTGCGTTTAGTTGGACGATCATTTATTTTTCAACAGGACAATGACCCCAAACACACCTCCAGGCTGTGTAAGGGCTATTTGACCAAGAAGGAGAGTGATGGAGTGCTGCGGCAGATGACCTGGCCTCCACAGTCACCGGACCTGAACCCAATCGAGATGGTTTGGGGTGAGCTGGACCGCAGAGTGAAGGCAAAGGGGCCAACAAGTGCTAAACACCTCTGGGAACTCCTTCAAGACTGTTGGAAAACCATTTCAGGTGACTACCTCTTGAAGCTCATGGAGAGAATGCCAAGAGTGTGCAAAGCAGTAATCAGAGCAAAGGGTGGCTATTTTGAAGAAACTAGAATATAAAACATGTTTTCAGTTATTTCACCTTTTTTTGTTAAGTACATAACTCCACATGTGTTCATTCATAGTTTTGATGCCTTCAGTGAGAATCTACAATGTAAATAGTCATGAAAATAAAGAAAATGCATTGAATGAGAAGGTGTGTCCAAACTTTTGGCCTGTACTGTATATTGTCATCAAAATACTACATTTAAAATGAAAATACTTAGACTATGAGATCCCTAAAATGTAATTTGAAATAAGTTTTGCATTTCCAGTAATATTTTTGTTTCACATCAGTCTGCCACAGTCATGAACATAAGTGTTGTGTGAAAGAGTTTAAGTGCCAGTTCTACTGTTAGTGCTTTGTACAGCAAGAACGGCTACAGCAGTAATAAAAAATAAATAATATTCTGACTGAGAATTAACCTGCCTTCTGCATTAACTGCCCGTAGCTGGGTTTAGTACATTATCCTGTGCAATAGTCAACCTCTACAAATGCAGTAAAGGGTCTAATTGTTCACACAGTCTTGAGTGTAAACAGGCAGGATTACTCCAGATTTGGCAGGCCTGGAGGTGAGAAGAACTGGGCCACCAGATCCCGAGGCCCTCGGCCAAATAAAACTGGGCCTCAGATTCCTTCACTGCCAACACAAACGCACTTTACCTAAACTAGCTGTAACAAACAACAGGCCACTTAGTACCTGCTGGATGTGGTGAACGCAGAGGCGGACACTTATACAACACTTACAAACACCAGCAATATCAGAAGATGATTTAACAAATTGCACCACAATATAGCCACAAATGGGTGCAAGTATACAAGCATGACAGGCGCTCAATTTCCTTATCCTTTTTAATGCTAAGATTAAAGTTTTGGGATAAACTCTGCAGCATATGCAATCTAAAGTAAATAATTCCTTACCAGTGAGACTGTTAATTTTATTGTATTCACTGTTATTCACATTAGACTTGAACTTCAAAGAGTTTACAATTAAACTGGAGAATATTTTACAAATTATTAATAATCTGATCAAGTTATCAAAACAGATTTTGATAACAATTTCAACCCATGAATCACTGCAGCTCTACAGTCAAGCATATGGTGTTAATATGTAAAGTTATTGTGACCTGTTCCAGTTGGAGGTGCTAATGAGCCAACAAAGACTTACCTGTATTTAAAAACAACTGTATGTCCCTTCATTGCCGCTAAAAACATCTGTAAATACTTGAGACACTCCTGTATAATAATATAATCATAATATAATCGAGGACATCAGCCCTGTAATAAATAGGCTACAAGTATTAAGGTATCTTACCTTTTGACAATTATTTGATGGGGCTGTTTGAACTCTGTGGTACTTTTTGAGCCCATTTCACATAATATTTAAATGTATTATTATTATTATTTTTATTATTGTTGTCATTAATATTATGTAAATTCTCAGTCTGTTCTGGACAAATTTCCTTTTTAGTGACTTTTATATATATATATATATATATATATATATATTGCTCTGAATCATGCAGGTTTTTCTCTTTGTGGCCATTTTTTGTTTTAGTTGTATGTCTTTGAGGCAACACTTTGCTAAACGTTTTGAGTTTTGCATTAAAATGACTGCTGTTATCAATTTAAGACTGGTAAACAATTTCTAAGAAATAAACAGGCTGATATTGATGATGTTCTCAAAGTGTGAGGTAGGAGTTTCCGTGTGGTCCCTGAACGCAGCACAAGTCCTCGCCTCTTTCGTGGCTGTAAATAGGCCCTAATACTCTTTGACAGTTGGAGTTAGTGAGCTGGCTGCAGGGGACGGCGTGTCAGGTTGCTTATTTCCCTCATTGTACATGGAACACCTGTGTTTAACTTTAACAACGTCGAGCTGCAGACTCTGGATCAGCTCAGCGTGCTTTATTTTACCCTCCAGTCCACTTCTTTAACGTGTCTGAGGATTATCAGGCACTTTTTGGGTAGAAACGCAAACCGTGCGGTGTGAACAATGACCCGAAACACTGGTTTCCTCTGATTTTTCATGCCTGAAGCACGATGGAGAAGTTCCTTGAAGTAGCCCCGCACTCTCTGGCTCTGGTGCTGTCGCAGCTTCGCAGAGGAGATGAAGAGGGCTGCCCATCATCATCATCACCACCACCAGCAGCGGTAAAGTTACAGCATCACACCGGCTACGAGGTGTTCGCTAATTTCAAAGCTGTAAACATGCAGCATTTCTGGAACAAGGCGCTGACAGAGGCGCTGTCTGAGATCTTCTTCCTCGGCTGGATCGATGAGCATGTGCTGCTGATCCAGGGCAAAGAAGTCCACCTCCAGGTCCTGAGGAACGGATGGACCAGACGGACCCTCAAACCACCACAGGGCTTTGACATCATGTGTATAGGTGAGTGTGTTACACATGCATAATCATGCTGTTGGGCTCAAGTTGCACAGGCAGTCGATGCTTTACACTTAATTTCATTGTGCATGGTTTTAGAAACAGCACTGAAGTTGCTGTCGTGTGTTCATATGCAATGTTTTCTCCTGTCCTTGCATGGGAGATGTGGCTTGCAGCATGGCCACAAAATAGTCCATCAAAGCAGACTCATGCACTAGTAGAAAAAAAGAAATATAATTTTGGAAAAGTTGCACACTTTAGCAGTAAAAGCAAGCGTTTAGAGAGTTAAGAGTGTTAACAGTAAGTATAGTGTGCTGTGGCAATAACATGTAATTAAATCTGTCAAATCTTGGCCTCCATACACAGAGCCTGTCAGAATGAGTCGACTAGATGGCACAAATAAAGTCATTTTAACTGTGTTTAACTCCTGTCCACAGCGTTAAGTTGCATATCATTTAGCAGTACTTCCTTTTACATTTAATATGTGTCTGTCCAGAGCTGTGGACTTGAATCAGACTGAAGTCACATGAATGAGAGCTTGGACAGATTTCACTTACTTGAAACTCGCCAAAGACTTAATACTTAATAGCAAAAACATCCAAGTCTCAGGTTTTTAAACCATTAAATCCCGAAACAATAAGAAAATTCATTAAAGTGCATCAGGGAGACCTCGCATAGCTGTCCACTTTGCATAATGTTGAACTGGAGACTGGATTAAGGAGTTGCATACTGTAATGAACCACAAAACTAACTCAAGTTAGAGGTACTAACTCTTTGGAGAAGCTTTAAAGTTCGATTTACTGATATTATAGTATTACTTGTTGATGTTTTAGCTAATGTGATTGTTTATGATGATTGAAGTGTCTTTGGTTTCTCTTGATAAAGAGATCTTTTCTCAATTACCATAAAACTTCAGTTAGTAGCCCGGGTTATTATTTGCTTAAATCACTGAAATCAACCTACCTGTATTTGGG